TGCAAAGTTGTGAGCTGCTGGTGTTGAGGCTGGAGTGGATGTTGATGCTGCTGGAGTTGGTACTGGTGTTGATATTGGGGCTGGTGTTGAGGTTGGGGCTGGTACTGCTGCTGCGGGGGCGACATTGTGTGGTGAGCGGCGAAAGGCAGCTGCTGCTGCTGTGGCGCCGGTGGTGAGATGGGAGGCAGCGCCTCAGAAATTGTGTAGGGCAGCTGCACACCATGAGGCATGCCTGCAAGCGAGGGAACCACCATAGACTTACGGCCGTCTCCGGTAGCGCCACCAGCAGCGAGCAGGGCATTCGAGTAAGGACAGACAGCAGAACCGCAGGGGTTTCCCCAAGATGCGCGATTCGTAAGAGAGGGACAAGCAAAGAAGAAAACCACGTCAGCGAAATAGCCGGCCCCGTGTTCCTAACAGGGTTCGACACCCCGTACGGGGCCCGTAAGTTTTTGGCCTTTTTTCGGTATCCCCGTCAGGGCCCGTAGGACTTTTCGGTGGCTCCCGTAAGGATTTTGGGGCGCGAAGCGCCCCGTACGGGGCCGCCCCCGGACCGGCCGAAGGCCGGTTACGGTGGCTCCCGTAAGGATTTTAAGGATTTATAAGAGGCCGTACGGGGCCCTGTAGGGGAGAGGACGGACCATATAAAGGATAAGGCCACACACTTCGCAGACATAATTCATACTGCAATATTTAACTACACTTTTCATAATACTTTTATAGCTTCTGGTCTGTAACATCCAGCGATGCCAGACAATGAGTCGTCAGGAGGTGACCAAGGGCCTCCTAATCCACCGCCCTCCAAGAAGCGCGAGAAAATAACGAAAATAACGACTTACAGGGCAAAAAAATGCAAAGCGTCACTTTCCACAGCGTTTCAGCCAAGGACAGTGCCCCCGTAAAGGTTTTGCGGGGGTTACGGGGGCCCCCCTAAGGTTTTCGGCCGGTACAGGAGCCTGGTACGGGGGCCCCTCCGTAAGGAAAATTTGGGAGGTACGGGGGAGCCCGCAAGTTTCAGGAAGGTCAGTGTCGAACCCTGGTTCCTAATCCAACCAGAGATAATCGAAAAAGCAAAAGCCGGCGCATAAGACGGCAAGGGGTAGAGCTTTGCTGTGACCTACAGGCCACAAGCGTCGGAGATCCCAAAAGCCTCCCCCGGTATCGCCACCCATTTGGGACGATCACCTAGCGCAGCCTTGACGAGAGCCAACCCAGATGCATCCTTCACTCATCCAGCTCGCCCAACTCATATCCCCCCTCTTGCTCGCGCGCGGATTTCATGTTCTCCTTGGACGCGACGCCTTAAGTGCCAGGCCTTAAAGGCCTTTGGAGTAGAAGCCCTGGCGTGTGTAACGCCGCGTCCCGAGGAGGATATGGATCCCGCGTACCCAGAAGCTGCCATGCTAATGCCCTGGAGTTCTCAAGTGGCAGCTCCGAAACCACCCTGTGGCCCGAGGAATCCTTACCAGGGCTTGTTGTGACGATTCCCGAGGGTGAGAGCTCGCTGCTGACGCTGGCCTCAGCAGTGTAGGAGGAATCCATGGTGGAGACAGATGACCCCACGGCCTCGGCCAGCCTGTCATCCCGTGCGGCAGCGATTACTGCCCCACTGCCAGGCGTCTGCTGCGCAAGGACTTGGGGTTCCAAGCGACTCCTCGCTCTGTGGGGTCCGGGGTTGACAGCCGAGTCGGTCGTAATGAGGCCACTCGGTCGTAACCACAGCCACTGCAATATTCTACTCTTCCCACCCAAGTCAAGGATGTACCAGCAGCGCTGATGGACAACTTTCCAAGGACACAGACCGAAAGTTCCCAGCGGAAATTCATCCTCCTCAGCCACAGTGGCAAATTCAAGCAGGTGCTGCCGAGCCTTTGCTGCTGCCTCCACAAACGCCTTGTGGCTGCGATACTGACACGGAGTGAAGTAATGCATTACAGCGGCGTCCAGGTGGGCCCACATCCTCTCTTCCAGCTTGGGCAAAATGCCCATGAAGATGTGGGATGAGAACACCAGCATGAAGTGCAGATAGTCCTCCATCCGCCATGAGTCCCTGCCAAAGCACACCTCTTAGTCCCTTGGCTGTGTGGGAGGTGAACAAGCAACCAGGGACTTACGGAGGGAAAGTCCAAAGCAAAACCTAAAACAACACTCCCGCCTCCTCATAACCCTCTCCTCCCCCCCTACAACCCCCCCTCCCCCGTCCCCCCTCCCCTCCCCTGCCCCTCCCCGTCCCTTCGTTTCTTTTGCTTATTATTATGCCAGGCACGTTACTACACTCCCTGCTACCGCTACCCGCCGTCGCAACTTCCACCATCACCGTCCCCGCCGTCGCCCCTGCCGCTTTCAACCCTGCCACCGCTGCCAACCCCGCCGTCACCAGCCCTGCAGTCACCCGAGCCACCCGCCGTCGTCCCTTCAACCATCACCGTCACCGCCGTCGCCACAGCCGCCGTCGCCGTATGCATCCCCGCCATTGCCCGAGCTGCCGTCGCCATCCCCGCCGTCACCCTAAACACCGTCACCGCTGCCGCCATCACCTCGGCCACCTTCGCCATCCCCGCCATCACCCAAACCACCGTCGCCCCTGCCGCCATCACAACTGCCACCGTCTCCTCCGCCACAGTCGCCAACCCCACCATCACCAGAGCCACCGTCACGAACCCCGCCGTCGTCCCATCCACCGTCGCAATC